GTATTCCTATTGCCCCTTCCTTTCTTAGTTGTATGACACGGGAGTAATTGCCAGATACACATATAAACTACCCAGTGAATGTGTCCAAGACCCCGAGTTTGATTTTTTGTGCTCCACATGGCTTACAGGGTGGGCAGGCAGACTTCCAGTGAGCAATTCTCACCTGCCAAGCCCATCTGTTACCCACTCTCCGGCAGCCAGGAAGTCACAAATTCGAACCCTGTGGGATCCCTGAAAGGTGCCATTGGGGTTGAGGAGTGAGGGGGGAAGGTGTGGAGACCCTGGCCACCTCACACTGAGATGAGAGTAGGCCTCTTGTGAAAATCAGACCAGCTAAGATTTCCCCTTGACATCAAAGAAGTTTTGGAAAGACACACACACACACACACACACACACACACACACACACACACACACACCAGAAAACAAATGCCACAATAAGAAACGAAAACTCCACTCCAGGGACCCTCCCAGGGCATCTTTAAAGACAAGGGGAAGACAGTAAACCATAGGCCAATAACTAATCTCAATCTCACCCGTATGCAATGTCTTGGTGACTCCGGGCAGTAACTTTCAAGAGGAACTATACAGCCCTGCCTTCCCGGTTAGGCAAAGACACAGCCCTTCAGCCCATTGCAGAGACAAAGAGCGAGGGGCTCAGAGATGTTCTCACATGCCTAGGTTGCACCCTGTCAGCCGCTGGGGAATGCAGATAAAAAGAGCCCCCTAGAAAATGAGAGCCAAAGCAGGATGAACAGAGAAGCTGGTGTCAAGGCGCAGAAGTTTTTTTGCAAGACAGCAATGTCTAGTGTCTCCGTGGATTCCTTGTACACGCCACTCCTAAGGGAATGCACACTTCGCCAAAGAGTTTTCAGTGTTTAGTACAGAGGAGATGATGAGACCTAGACAAACGCCTAGAGAAGGAAATACAACCTGTGCGAAGTCATAAAAATGGACAAAGATGGAGATTGAGCCTTCCCATCTTCCCGCTTTAACAACGGCAGGAGACAGGGACCGCCCCTCCTCTCCCCAGTACCAAAGGAAGATACTTTCTGTAGCCCCAGTTGCCAGTGGGGCCTGGGGACAGGGTTCGTCAGTAAAATGCTCTCCCCGCACAAGCAAGAGCACTAGGGTTCAGATCCCCACCATCTAAGGACAGGAGCTGGGCTCAGTAGCATGTGCCTGGAATCCTACTACTGGAGAGGCAGAGACAGGAAGGTACCGGGAGCTCACTGGCCAAGTCAGTCTAGCCAATCAGTGAGTGCCAGGTTCACATAGCAACCGTGTCCCAAGAAATAAGTGAGGAATGACTGAGGAAGACACCCAGCACCAACTCCTGGCACCCACAGGCATGCACGTGCACACCCCCAAATAAACAGTAAACTCAAGGCAGTAAGCATCTGTCCTGCTGGTGTAAGCATTTTATGTTCTATACAGTTAACACCTATTTAAATTGGGTGTAATGGCTCCTAATTGTTTTATTCTATGCACAGCAAAGCAGCCAATTGAATCTAATATTAGTCATTCATCAGATAAAACATTTTCAGAGAAGCAAACTGCTATATTTTGCCTTCAAAGAACAGCAAGCATTTTAAATACACTTTCCCAGAGCTGGTTCTGCTAGAAAAACAGTTTAGAAATGCTACTGCAAGCAACCCCCTTCCTACAATAAGATGAATTGAAACAAATGCTTAGCTCTGTATTTTGGGTGCTTTTTTCTTCTTCAAATGAAGCCTCTTTCTGTCCACCTGTCAAACGCAGTTGTGACCCCATCAACCTAAGAGGTGGCCTCTGGGGCTATGAAATGTGCCACCCAGCACGGATGCCCTTGGCGCGGCTGGCCTGCAGTCCTCTTTAGGATTATCCAACTTCACTTGCAACAGGAGAGAGGCGATGGGCCCTCTGCCAAGAGCTCTTTCAACAGAAATTCCGAAAGAAGATCCTGCGAAGTGCCGAGAGCCCAGATTTCCAGCCGTTCACTCTCTAGATTCCGTTACATAGCAACCATGCCCGCTCACACGGGCTACCCAAGTGAGTTAATATTTTGTTTAAACGACACGCTGCCTTAACCCTCTAGGAAAACCCAAGTCTGCTTCATCACAAGGCGCCAACCCAGTGGTCTCCCCGGCACAAAAGTCCCCAGCAATGAAGTGATGCACTCCCTTTATTCATTTCCAAAAAGGATTTTAAAAAAAAAAGCAACTAAAAATGGACCTGACAGTCTCTTGGTGGGGAGTGAGGGTGTAAAAGGTGGCATTTTCCTGTAATCGTTTGTGCTAATATTGTTAAAGGCATACTAGCATGCTCTTAATGTGTACATATGCACTTTAGCTAAAAGTGACTTACACGGTTGTATTTTGAAAGATACTCATTTCGCTCAAAGCTTCGATGTGAGAATTGACAGCTTAACTGCACCAGGCAACCTTAGGGTCTGGTCCCGCTGAGCGGCTCCAGTGCAGGCGAGAGGTAAACACACGGGAGACTCTAACCTGGAAGATCAGGAGCCCAAGGGGTCCAGCTTCCCTGCACCATCCTGGTACCTTGTCAGGAAGGACAGGAAGGAGGTGACCAGCCATACTTAAAAATTAGCATGCATCAACGCAAGGCTCCCCTTTAGCAACTTAATAGGAGCTATGGCTAAAGGGGTAACCAGACCAGCTCTGATGAGGTCTTCTAGCAAAGCAGTGCCAGAGTCCCCCAGAAAAAACAAAATGAATGAAAGCAAAACCTCACAAAGACTAAATGACACATGACACACACACATTACACACATATGCATGCATGAATATGTGAACACATCTATTCCAGGATTGAGGTGCTGTTACTATAGATAAGTCAATGCCCAGTGGTCTTACACAGTAGTTTCACATTTCTTACACCCGCCTCACCCACTTAGTCATACTAACTTGAATGCACATGTGACCCACAGATGTGTTGGGTTAGAAATCATGAGCATGCATTCTGATTATCCGGTCACTAAGGGCCCATTGTACAAGTTCTGAAAACCATGAGCAGTACTAACAGACACAAGACCCTCCTCCTCTGTCCTATTACCTACTCATTGCCAGTCATGGCCATGGGCACTGGGCAGGTGCAAAGGTTCCCATGGGCACAAGGGAGCTACTGGTGGCGTGTGTTCTTAAAGACATCGAGTGATTCCCAAAGCCACTTCCATGTCTGTAGCATTGTACATCTTAGTAGAAAAAAGCAAAGCAGAACAAAAACAGAGAAGAAAAAGGAAACACCCCCTGTTGTGCCTGTCCAACCACTTAGTCATCAGGATGCCAGTCTTAGTCTCTCACTTTCCAAGCGAAGGGTGCCAGCACGGCACTCTGGATTCCTTCACACACCAAGTCCACAGCGCAACCAGCACTCAGACGAAAAGTCACTTAACTTTTTTCACGTCCAGGAACGAGAGGATGGTGGGAATGTCCCAGGATCATTCAGTGTCCCTTCCCAGCAAAATGCCAGTTCTTAGGTAGTTCTGCAATGTTTGAACAGCCGCCGCTCACAGAAACCAAAAGCATTATCCTGCAGTCTGCTTTCGCCTTCTCTCACCTATGGCTCTCTCTCACATGATGACATAACCAGGGATGGATGACAAGAACAACCGGATGCCACCCGTGAAAACCCCGTAGCAAACACCAGGGCCACACCACTTTCTCGTCATTACATCATGATCAAATTACTCGCACGATTCCTAAAGACACCCAACAGGCTCCGGAAGTACCAAGTTAGGGTTTGACTTAGAATTCACAAAACTGCAAATCTTGAAGCTGTGAATCTCACAGGGCAAAGACATACCTTCCCGTGAAGGTAAGGCCAAAACAGACCGATGGAACCATTGAAGGCATCCCCATAAAAACATTCTCTCTCAACACTCAGGAGGAGCTATTGAGATAGCAGAACCAGAAAATCATTCTGAACCATTGAGCATTGGTACCTTACAATCCAAGTGACACATTTGTACAGGTGACCCTCTTGGGCTGGAGGATTTTCTTTTCTTTTCTTCTCTCCATCCCTTTGAATTTTTAGCAATTTAGATTACAATCTGAATGGTTTAAAGAAGCAGTGGTATTGCTTCTTAAAGGGTGATGGAGGGGAGCAGGGTGGGAGGGGAGTATGCAGGATCCTGCAAAGCTTGCTTCAATTTTTGCTTCCCAACTCTCAGAAAGCACCATGCATGGCAGGACCACCTTATATCACACCGTTAAACCTTACTAGGGGTTCAGAAGTGTCATGTCTCAATGTCAGCACTGGCCAGCTGTCTTTTCTTCCCCCTTCCTCTAAACTGCAGAGGGTCCTTCAAACAGGGGCTCCTAGCAACCCACCATTCAAGCCTTCATTCCTCCAGACAGCCATCAATCAACCTCTGAGGTCTGTGATTTACCCCTGGGAAGCGCTCTTCCCTGTATAGTTGCTGGAAATGTAAAACTCCCTGCAGACCCAAGCATCCATATAGGACTGCCTGCACCATCTCAAGCCTGGAGAAAATAAACTCCAGATGCAACCCAGTCAAGGGGCTTGGCGTCCATGGAGAAAAGTGCAAGCAAGTCCACTCCCCCAGGGCAGCAGAGCCCAAAGATTCCCTCGGGGAGTCATTTAAGAGGCCTTTGGAACTGGAGGGGTGTAGGGGACTGTGGGGTGAAGGCATGAAAAGTTTGCAGCGGAGCTGGGGTCTGTGTGCTCTCCAAAGGGCACTTTCCACTGACGCCTGAAAGGACCAGGCAGCGGCGCCTAGTTCTAGCCGGCAGGGGCCGGTGTGACCGTGTGACCCCCATGCACACTGCACCCGAGTTGGCGTTAATGACAGCCGTGTTGCAACTCCCAAGCTGGAGAGCATCGGGTGGACATGGTCAGGCGAAAAGGGTTACGAGCCACAGTGTAAAGCCATCTCGTTGTGAGAGTGTGTGTGTGGGGAGGGATACCACGGGCCCTGCTACCACTGGGACCGGTGAGCGCGCTCTGGGTCCCCGCCCCGGGCGCCGGTCGCTTCCTACCTTGCGCGCTGTGCTGATGGTTCTCCATAGTCGTCGCCGCCGAGTCAGCCACCGTCACCGCTGCTGCTGAGGCGCTGGTCGCAGCTCCCGGGCCCGAGCCGGAGCCGCCGCCTCCACCGCTCAATTCCGCCAGTCTCCGGTTGGTGGCCGTGAGCTCGGCTCTCAGGTTGGTCACCTCCTGGCTGGCCGACTGGACCGCCCCATCGATGCGGAGCGCGAGCTGCTTATTGTCTTCCATCATGCTCAGGATTTTGGCCTGGGGGCGAGAGAGGTGACAAAGAGCTGCATGATGTGCGTTGGGGGCGCGTGGCCGGCCGTGGCCCCGGCTCTACCTGTTGGGTCACCCTAGCGGCCCGGGTTTCCCCGCGCCCCGACCCCCGGGCACCGGCAAGCGCCGGCTCCTCCGGCGCAGGAATGACAGCGGCGCCTCCAGCCCGAGCCGCGGCGGTGGCGAGGCGGCGGGGGGAGGAGGAGGAGGAGAAAGAGGAGGAGGAAGGGAGTAGGAGGAGCAGCCGCGAACGGCGAGACCCCGGCGGGCGGGCAAGCTGCGAGCAGAGGACACGGTGCGCCGCCCGGGCCAGGCGCTCTCCGAGTGGAGCCTACCATTCGCGGCTCGCTCGGGAGGGGGCCCTGTTGGGGACCTTGGGGACCTCCTCGGCCTCGTGAACCCCCCCACCTCCGGGACACACCCCCGGAGAGTGGGGGAGGAGGGCGGCGCCTGTGTGAGGTCGGAGGTGGCACCCCCAGCGGAAGGGTTAGGGGTGCGTCCCGGGCCCCGGCTGTCCCGCTGTCCCCTCCCTGCGGCGGTGGGCAGCCCCGCCCGGCCAACTACTGCCCAGCTCCGGGCTGGGGTCGCCGCGGAGGAGGCGGTGGATGCTTAGCAGAGAGGGATGCTTGCTTAGGGGGCCTCTCGGAGGGTAGAGTGGGATGGAGGGCCGAGGGAGGGGGCTGCTGGAGTGAGCTCAGGAGTGGAGTTCTTGCTTTGCCAGTTGCAGAGATGAAATGCCCAGCGGGGAGGAAAGCTGGTGGACAGACAGTGAGCCTGCCACCTTCCACCCCCACCTCAGTGCCTGACCTGCGCTGTCCTTCCCCACCCCGGGCCAGTGGTGCTGTGGCCTGCCCGCAGCCCAGAGAGCGAGAATGTGTGCACCCCATGGATGGAGGGCTAGCTTGTACCTGGTCCTAAGCTGCTTGGCTGACTTGAACGTTAGTGGGAGTAAGGAACTGAGGTCAGAGAAAGGGTTGGGAGGTGTGGCGGGCCTTTCTTTTTCTCTCCTCCTTCCCGAGGTAGGAATGTTGAACCGGGCTACCTCGGTTTACCTACTCCCCGTTCTGAGAAGAATTGAGGTAACCTTAGCTTGCATAAGCCCTTCCTGGCTCCTTTCTTTCCCAGAGCACACACAGGCTTTGCATTTTTCAGTGGGGCCCTGGATTCCAGCCACCAGACCTTGTTACCATAGCAAGCTTCATTCCATGCAAATAGGAGGTTTTCAAAGAGCCAAGTGTAACCCCGCCAACAGTGTGCCACCATTCCAGCCCAGTCAACCTGGGGATGGGGGCTGAAAGCGAACTGCAGAAGCCAAAGGAATGCTCTAAACGAAACTCACCCTCCAGGCTCAAGAGTTTTTCTTGAGAACCAAGTAGAAGATGCATGCATGGGGCCTTTGTGTGTGGTTGACTCTGTAGGGGGAAAGAGTACTCCTCCTGTTTTAGGAGGAAACTGAGGCTCTGGGCAGTGTTTTGCAATTACCCATCAATCCACAGAAACCAGATGGTGAGAGGTTGGGAGTAAGCAATCCTAAAATGCCAGTTAATCCCATGTGCTTTCAGTAAACTTTTTTTTTTTTTTTTGAGACATGGTCTCTCCAACTCGCTATGAAGTGGAAAATGACCTTGAACTTTTGATCCTCCTGTCTCTACTACTGGATTGCTGGCATTACAGGCCAGTACTGAGCTTAACAGGCATGCTACATCACACCTAGATTATTCAGTGTTGGGATCAAACTCAGGGCATGGGGCATGCTATAGAAACATTCTACCGACTGAGTTACAGCCCCATTGGCTTCGTTTACGTAGGACCATAAAGGTATATGGTTGCCCTGCCCTTTCCCTATGGGACAAGCTTTTGCAAGAGGAGAAGGCATTCTTAGAAGGCAGAGTGCAGGCCCCAGGGCATAGTTTTTTCCCTTCTATCCACTTTGCTCGATGTAGGTATTGAACCTCTGACCTTAGTATTCTTAGCTCAGCTTTGACCAAGTAGGTCGACAAATGTCTTCAGAGAGACTGGGTGTGTTTAACATCCAGGTCCCGTTCTTGGAAGGCCTTTGGGAAGAAACTAGGAGGCACCCAGCCACAAGGCTCTGTGGAACTCCTAAAGGATGATGTCACTGGGGAACCCAGTTTGGCAATACCTTCAAATGTTAAAAGTGGTGTAAGGCCCTTTAACACCAGCACTCAGGAGGCAGAGGTAGGAGGGGCTTTCTCAGTTTGAGGGCATTCTGTTCATTCAGGAAGTTCCAGGCCTGCCAGCCAGGGATATGTAGTAAGATACTGTCTCAAGACAAAGAAACGAACAAACAAACTAACTAATTAAGTAACTAAAGAGAAAGGTTACTATGGAATTACTATGTAACTAGGCATGCTCATTCTAAACAACCTAGATAGCTAAAGAAAAACTTGGAGGGATGGCAGGAATGGTGTCAGTGTTCATAGTAGCATTGTCTGCCCTAGTCGGAAGGTGGACAGAGCTTGGCTGCCCATCAGCAGATGAAGATACAGTGCTAGCCATCCATATGGTGGAATATTATTCAGCCATGGTAAGGAGTGAAGGACAGACATGGCATTCCTTATAACCATGAAACCCCCAAACACTGTGCCTGACACAAAAGGTCACACAATGTATGACTCTGTTCCTGTGAAAGTTCGGGAGAGGTGGATCTAGGCAGCCAGAGGGCAGACAGGTGGCCGAGAGAGCAGAGCCCCAGGAGGAACTGCTTACGGAATTATTTTAGGAGTGTTGTAGGGTATGCTGCGTGCTGACGGTGTCTCGGAGCTAGACAGTGGCTGTGTTTGCCCAGTGTTGTAAGTAGACTAAATGTCATCACGTTGTTTGCAGTGGAGCAGGGGATATCATCTTCTATGAATGCTGGGGGCATAAAATAAAAGGCATGGATGGGTGGTGGTAGGGGTACCCCAGGAGTAAACTCAACCAGAAAACAACAGAGGCTGTACTCAAAAGGTGTGTGTGTGTGTGTGTGTGTGTGTGTGTGTGCATGTGTGTGCGAGCACGCGTGCGTGTGCGTGTGTGTGTGTGTGCTCATACCCCTATGACACTCACCAGAAGGGCAGGGATGTGTCTATTTGCACGTTCCCCCAGCTTCACTGTGAACTTGTGGGCCGGAGAGGAAGGTGGCTGAGTCTTTTCTTGTTTCTCTTCCCATTCTTGTCACCTAGTCTGTAGCTAGTGCTCCATCCTCCACTGTGTCTGAGCTTGTTTGCGCAGTAAACAAACTGAGGAAGTGTTACTCATTTTCCCTCCATGGAGAGACTGTCCCACACACTGGCATCTTCACATCAAATCACAACAAAACAAACATCTCGAGAGGGAGAGAGAGAGAAGCAAGGACTTATTTTTGGACTTCTCTTTTCCTCTCTTTTATGTGTGTGTGTGTGTGTGTGTGTGTGTTATGAGTGCATGGAAATGTTTACGCACCCACTAGTGTGCACATGTATGTGAAGGCCAAAGGTCAATATTCATGTCTTCCTCTCTCATTCTACATTTTATTTATTTATTTATTTATTTATTTATTGAGACAGGGTCTACTTTGACTTCCTGAACTCCAGCCTAGTGCACTGTTCCTCCCTGGGTGACCTCAAGGAACAGATAAAATAGCTGTAGAAGCAGTGTCTTCTTATGGCAGCTCGGAGAGAGGAAACTCCTAACAAGAACTGATGCTCGGTTGCTGGGGAGCCAGTCAAGTTGTTGTAAGCAAGATGACCAGAGTTCAGAGTTTGGGTCCCCAGAATTCTTGCATGTGTCATGTGAGTGTGTCAGCCTGCCTGTAATTCCAGCCTCAGGAATCAGAAGACAGGGCATTCCCTAGAGCAGGCTGGGTAGTGAGACTAGTCTTATCAATGAGCTCTGAGTTGGAATGAGAGACCTCGGTGAATAAGATGGAAGAGGAAGGTGAATAATCATGGAGGATGATTCTTAACATCAACTTAACATCAACAACATCCACACGTATGTGCATGCACACCTGCACATCCACATGCAAACATGCATGAACACAGACATGCATACCATACATATACAGATGAAGAGACGAGAGGAGAGAGAAGAGAGGAGAGAGAGAAAGGGGGGAGAGAGAGAGAGAGAGAGAGAGAGAAAGAGAGAGAGAGAGAGAGAGAGAGAGAGAGAGAGAATAGCGAGGCTCAATGCACATCCACAACAGACAACTCATCTTTCCCCAGAAACAGATGGGCCTTGTCACTTAACTCCAGACTGGATCCTCTAAAGGGGAAACTGTGAATAGTGTCCTGAGTCTCCACCTATGTGGCTGCCTCCCTCCATGGTGTGCTGCTGCTACTTGGTAGCAGAAGGCACCAGGCCTCGTGTCCTCTAGCTTCCTCCCCATCTGCAGACAAATGGGGGCTAGATGGAGAAACGAGCTCCTGTAGACGCCAAGGAAGGAGCCAGGAGCAGTTAACGCCACGCTCGAGAGTGTGATCCATCTTCATACTGTATCATGGGGCACATTCTAAATTACAGGTGAGGCCACAGCCTAGCACAGTCAGGCCCCGGGCTCCTCTTCCCACAGCCCTCAATTCTTCCCACCTTGGAGCAGAGCCTTCCTCTCCTTCTGCTGTTCTCCTGTCTAGAATATTCTCCCATGACTCTCTAGCCCCGATTCCTTGTCATCTCTCAGACTGAACATTCCACTCTGATATTTTGTAGCACAGGTCACCACAGATGGTCCCTCAGTTTATTTACATGGTAAACTTGAGCTACCATGTTCTCAGATGGATCAAGAGTTAAGTCACCATCGTGTAGCTCGCTTGGGTAGAAGTCTTTCTGTTTCTCTGCCTGAGGCCCCAGGCAGCCCTGCTTCTTTTGTTTTGTGTTGTCATTCCCAAGAATAAATATCTCTTTGGTGGCATAATTTGATTATTTAGATTGTAACAGAATCCCCCATCGAAAACTACCCCTCTCCCACCAAGTACACCCACCCTGCTGGAGTGCAGGCCTCAAGGGGTGGCTCAGGGGAGGGGGAGCTCTCCTCAGTTCTGATTTTGTTGCCTGGATAGTTTGCGGATAGTGAAAGAGATTCATGTCTCTTGTCCTCACACCTCCACATCCACAAATAGTCTCGTTGCCCTCATTAAAACCCTCCGAATATTCAGCCGTCCCTAGGAAACCCAGGCACATCTTCCTTCCACTAAAGCTATTCCCAGC